AAGTATCTAAAAATAGTGAAATATTTTGTTTTTTGAAAAGGGAGATAAAGAGCATTTCAAAACTCGCAGTGAATAAATTACAAATATCATGGTAAAGAGGTTCAAAGATGATTAGAATAACTAACTTTGAAAACAAAGTTTGATAAATTTTTTCATTTGGCTGTTTTTTGTTTGTTTGTTTGTTTGTTTGTTTTTTGTCTTTGATAGATTTTAGCCTAGAGCTTGATGAACTCTACAATTTTCAAACAGTTACACTACAGATCTCTCTCTGACATTATTTCAACATAATATAAGAAAATAAAATATTTTCCAATATAATGACTAAAAAAGAGATAAAGGACCCTCAAAAATATTTAAACTATGTTTAACTTTAAAGGTAAACTAGAAATTATAAGTAATAGTGAATTATTATAGTTTTTAGGTAGGTTTAGCAGAGTTTCTGAATTTCTAAGTCTGTTTTCTAAACCTATGTCTGGTCACAAATCTTATACTAACTCACAAAAAAATCCTAAGTAGGGCTGATGTTAGAAATACAAATACTGTATACAGCTAAATATTTTTTATCAACAAAATGTAATAGAAACTTGAAACTGAATTTAAAGTCTGTGCAGCAAGATGGTAGATGAAAAAGTAGATATCCCAGGTAAGGAAAGCAGAATTTAGGAACCGAGTAAGGTTGACAATGGGTGTATCAAACTGTGTTTAACCTTGTTGGAATTTTTTTAACTTCTTGAGTAGTTTCATCAGTCTCACTGAGAAGCCATCCGAGATAGAAAATACCAGTAAGAGAACCAGTCTGTATGTTTTTAAGTTAAAACATACCACAGATATTAAATTTTAAATATTTATCTCTATATCCTCCCACCCCCACATCATTTTCCTGATAGGTAAACCAAAGTCTAGAGCTGAACACTGCCCTCATCATTTCTACTCCAAATGGCACCCCTGTTTAAGACGAAATGTAGTAGTAAGAAGCAGAAGCATTTTACACTCTAGTCATTCTTTTGGGCCCTATCCTGGAGCTACAAAATGATCTTACAACAGTAAGAACTAAGATGGCATGTCTTAATTTGCCTAAAGAAATAGGTTCAAAAACAGATAGAGCAGAACAATTAAAAGATAATTTTAATTTTAGCTCAGTGTGGGAAGAACTATTTGATTTTAATATGTAATAAGATTATTGTAAGAATTGAATTAATCCAGGTAAAACACTTGGAGATGTACTTAACACATAGAGAATACCCCCAAAATACTAGTTATTTTTATAACTGTTGTAATAATTAGTCTTTTTTTGAATAATATCACAAAAGCAGCAACATCTTAAGCTACCAATAAAATTTGGTGCATATTTGGATTAGCTTTGAACTAGGTACTGAGCTGTGTTTTATATAGATTCTCCCACTTAGTGGATTATCTCAATTCTACAGGTAAGAAACCTGGGGCATAAAATGGTTAAGGAATACGCCAAAAGTTATGTAGCTTGTAAGACAATGGTTTATAACAGAACGACTAAAACAATTTGATAAAAAAAAGATAGTCTTGGATTGAAGACCCACTGATCAGAGTTCGAGCCCCTAATCTACCATTTGCAAGTTCAATTCCTGATGTAAGCCCCACATCAGTCAGCGTAAGAGGTCGAACTACAAATTATTTAAAGTTCCTTCTATTTTTTTTTTATGCCTCCATAGCTAAGGCTGAATGTAAAACATCCCATAGTGAAGTTTTGGTTTTATCCAGTTAAATCATGACTACCTTCTACAGTTAAGAAAAATTATCACAATGAAATCTCCACAGTACTGGAAATGAAATATCTATTCCATCTATTCATTCTATAGTTTTTCATATTGGACAAGCAAATCAACCAAACCTAGAGGCATTGGATACTATGTTTCTGACTTTTGGTTTACAAGGAAGCAGGGGAAATCTTTATGGCATGATAGCAATTTGGCAAGATAGAGATTGTAGTAATTACAAAAGAGAATATTTTACATCATACATACTTTACACAGACATGATCTCATACCCTGGCCTAGTTACCAGGGGTGTTCACATACATGCCTGAATGCTGTACTGCAAGAGAGTCATGGCAGATCATTCATTTTTTTTTTCCAGTTGATAGCTTTTTCCCCTTATGCCTTATTCAACCATTTTAATTTAGCACACTGTAGAACATTTGCTTTGGTGTAATTTTTTTCACCTACAAATTATAGCATTTTTGTTTGGTCCCATGTGCTTAATTTCATTCCACACAAACCATTTATATTCTCTAGTGAGAAAATATGTATAGCAAGGAAAATACATTTTCCTCCACCATATCCTCCAGAGTAGTTTTAAACATGATTTTCTCAAGACTTGCTAGATAAATATTGTATTCTTAAATATTTAAGAATAATGAAGTGGGATTTTATATCAGTTAAAATTTTGTAAACCTTAATTTTAATAGTCAACCAGTATACATACATATTTATATATCCACTAGAGGCCTGGTGCATGAAATTCGTGCACTCGGTGGGGGGGGTGTCCCTCAGCCTGGCCTGTGCCCTCTCACAGTCTGGGAGCCCTCAGGGGATGTCTGACTGATAGCTTAGGCCTGCTCTCTGTGGCAGTCGGACAGCCTTAGCGATGCCCCAGAGGCAGGAGAGGCTCCCGCCACTGCCGCTGTGCTCACCAGCCATGAGCCCAGCTTCTGGCTAAGTGGCACTCCCCCTGTGGGAGCGCACTGACCACCAAGGGGCAGTTCCTGACTTAATCATCTTCCCCCTGGTGGTCAGTGCATGTCATAGTGACCAGTCATGCCCCTGTTTGGTTGATTCGCATATTAGCTTTTTATTATATAGAATAAATAATTTTACTGTTCTTGTCGACTTCAAGTCTTTCTGAGAATCAGATTGTCTCACTGAATATAATTACACAATCATTTTCTTCAGAATTATTTCAATACTTATTTTAGTGGATATTACACAAAATATTAAAACACCAATTTTTTTTTCCATTTCAAAAATGTGAAAAGTTTGTGGCATATATATAAATTAACACAAGGAAAAGATTGGGTTCCTTTGAGATTAATATTTCTTCTGAAAATACTCCTTGTCTTAACTGTTATTGCTTAGTTAATTGGGTTGATGTGATGGTCTAATCTTTCAAAGCAAGTTAACCAAATTACTATCTGTAAGAGCCACCAAAAATCATGAGAGCTGTTGTTTTCCTAGTAGAAGCTCTAAGTCACAGATTGTACTTCCCCCAGCAGCTTTCCCCACTCAAGCCAGCTGACCTTCCAACTAGAAGCTTAGTCTTACTCTAATGCTCAGAGTAATTTCTGCCATCGGTTAGGGTTTCACATCTTCCAGGTCACACCTCAGTACTTCTTAGTGAATCTCATTACATCCTAGATCATTTGACTTCTCCATTGAGATAAATTCTTGCCTGAGGCCCTGTTAGCATATGGAGAATCCTCTTAGGTCATTATTCTTTGCCCACATGGCTCCCAAATTCCTGTCATCAGATTCTCTGACTCAGCTCTTCAACTTAAAGATTGGTTTTTCAATAATTTAGTGCCCAAATTATGACCAAACTCTTTATATAATTCAGACAATATATTACCCTGGCAAGCTTACCTTTCAGGCCCTCTTTATCCAAGTGGCTATGCTTTTTTTTCCCTCAAAGTCCTGACACCCCGCTCTCTTAATCACTATTTCCTTGAAGAAACATCATGACTCATTCATAAGTTTCATGTTATCATTAATTTGTGTCCATAAGTATAAAACACACATAACATTTACACTGCTATGAATTTAAAGAACCCTGGCTAAGGATGAGTGAATGAGCTTGGTGTCCAGGCTTTTAAGACATTGTTTAAATTTTGCTGTTGTACTTACTAGTTCTGGTACTCAGCTGACATAATTTAAATTTTATAAGCTTTAGTTTTCTCCTTTGAAAAAAATACATGTAAAGTACTTACTTTGACTTCTGCTTCTATTGATGAAGGAGTACTATCTATAAGACTTGCCGTCTGCTGTAATGATTAGAAAACTGGACAAAACATATAAAACAATTATCATTAAAAAGCACACATTAAAAAGCACACAAGAAAGTGCATAACACTTGAGAAAAGAGAAAGAGAGCCTTACAGTACCTGGGTTTCTTCCTGGAGACAGTTTTTGGATTATGGTGCACAGAATATCAGAGTCTTTAAATTTGTAGTGAGGAGACAAAGATTTGAGTTTAGAGAGACCAAGGCAGCTAGAATTTGTGGGTGAGATCACAGAAACACGTAGCGGGAAATACACAGATAAGGAGCTCTAGAGATCTGTATAGGTGTTTCCTGAGAGTTTTGTTTGAATAGCAATTGAGAGAGGGAGAGAGAGAGAGAGAGAGAGAGAGAGAGAGAGAGAGAGAGAGACTCTTGTGCCATAAGCACTGTTTACGATAGGCTTGCTGAGAAAAAGATGAACTCTTCTTCCATTTAAATGAAGCATCATGTTCACTGGGAATTCTTATCATAGAAGCAGTTATGATAACAGAAGAGGGAGACAGGTCCTTTGTCAGGAGATAATATCCTGAATGTTTCCTAGGTGATGACCAGTGCTGTCAGGGATGCTGCTGCTTTTATCTTTCTTACTCGTGTGCCAAATGTGCCAGACCCAGTGTATAGAGTAAGAGCTTACTATCCTAGCATGTCCTACATGCACCACTTCAGTTTAAACAGCAGCTTTTAGATTGTCATCTCAGCAAGGCGCGAGCAATCATTACTAAAACAAATGCTTATATTGCGCTTTTACTACTGATCTTAAGATTTAGCAGGAAATACTAGTTCATCGGTACCACCTTTGAAGACTTATGCAGGTACAGATGTTGGCATATGTGTGAGATACTCATCTATACTCAGATCTTCTTTGTTAAGTGAGTTATTTCTTTTACTTCAAAAGTTTGGCACTAGTACTAATTATTATATAACTTCTTTGCCAACAATAATATATTATTTTTATTTTGTTTTCTTTCAGGGTTTGAACCTGAAAAGACTGGAGGCGGTACAAGGAGGGAGAGAGGTAAGAAAGTCTAAGAGAGAGGGAGAGGGAGGAAGAGAAAATGGTTCCAATGTTGCAGTGATGTGGTTGGTGAAGGTGACATCATGATAATGATGATAATGACAATGACAGTGACAATGATGATGATGACGATGGAGATGTGGATGTGGTGTGAAGAATGTTGTGTACATACTAGTATATTCCATTTACTCTGGCCATACCACACTTTACACATACTTATGTAACTGTTATTTGTGCTTGTTTCTCTGCAACTGAAAAAAAATACTTTTTCTCTGGTTAGGCAGGCTCTTTCTGTTAAAATGGACTTTCACAGCAGTTGGGCCTGCTGGAGAGGGCAAAGAAAACATTACATGCAATATTTAAAATGATTTACTGAGAAACTAGCAAAATTCTGACAATGAAAATATTTTATGACATATGAGATTCTTTACTCTCCTACCCAAGGCTATTGGTATATGGTACTAGGCTGTTATATGTTATTGATAGTGTGAAGTTGCTTTGATAAGACTAGTGATTTTAAAACTTTAATTATTGTCTATCCCAGATGCTTTAAACAGAAGGGTAACTTTTAATAATACCAAACATAAGACCATATTGTAAACATGATATATATTATTATTTTCTAATTCTAATATGCAGACAGTCACGATAAAGTTCTTTCCTTGCTAAGTGTACTAGTATAAATTTACTTATAAATTTATTTATCTGGGATTTCGGTTGTTTGAAGTGGAGTGCTGGTGGAATATTTAATTCAGTAAATCAATATTTTCTTATTGCCCAAAAGGTAATTTTATTTTTTGGTGATATTTATATAACTGTTTTGTGTGTTGTTGTTGTTGTTTTTTGTGTGTGGGGGGGGGAGGGGAAGGCACATGTGAAGATGTTTTGTCTTTCAAAATGAGAAAATATGTCTTACCTCCCTCTCTACCCATGACTCTCTCTTTGTAAAAAACAGTTTTCTTCTATATTAAATATGTAGTGCTTTCCTCTTCTTCCCTTGCTGTTATAACTTCCAGTTGTGTGGATTTTAATATTTGACATTTTAGTTCCTAGTAAACTTGTCATTTGGGGCCTCTTCCCATTTATTTGCTATTTTCCACCCAGATGAATCTGTTCCTTTTGAGGAACATATAGTAGTTGGCTCACATTGGCAGAAGAGCTAAGGAAGATAAATCTTTAGATACTTTTCAGGTTGTAGGAGAGCAAGGTAATACGAATGTGGTCATCAGTGCAGCAGAATGGGGGAAATATACTCTGTAAGGAAGACCTCAGAGCCACTTAGAGTTTTGTGAGGGTACCTGCTTTTGCTCAGACATGACCAAAATGGATCCACTTAGAGAAAGAACTTAATTCATCACCTCCTAAGTGAAGTTCACAGCCAAGCAGTCCTGCCATAATTTATCTCTGCTGATTCAGTGCCTTTCAGGACACTCAATTTAGAGATATCCAGCTCCTTGCTGCTGCATCCTAGTCCAGTAGCAACTGTGTGTCCAAAGAAGGAAAATGTACACCCATATGTCTACGTAATAATAGAAATATTCTTTATTTGTTTTATTTCGTTTTATCAATGTTTCATATTATTTTAAAAAACCTAATGACTGACTGGTTTTACTAGTATTCGAAAAGAGTGTTAAATTTTATTGCTTATTTTTTTCATTTCTTCTTATTTTATTTTTATTTTAATTGCACTTATGGGTAAGGGACATGCTGATAATGTATTTTAATTTTTTCAAAATATTTTTTCTTGAAACTATTTTATGGTTTGTATGAAGGTCAAATTTTTAATAAACCTATAATTTAAAGTTTTCATCTACGTTGAAAGGACAACCTTGATTCGGGCCTTCTCTCTGAGGTTAGTGGAGTAATTGTGAAGAAGGTAAGATCATTAAATCACTGATAGCCCAGTAATGTCTTTTCCACTTGATACTCTAAATTCAGGAATAAACAGTAAATGTCAACTACTGTATTAGAATTCAAAAAAGAAACTTTGCCTCCTCTCTGGGCATCACTGGGTTACTTGGGCATATTTCTTTTCTACCTAACACTCACCTTAGTTTTTTCTCATGATTATAAAGCCTAATCTGGTCTATGGTAGGAAATTTAGGGATGTATCAGACAATTGGGTGAAATATGTTGTGAAAACTGTTCTGCCAAATCTTAGTGGTATGTGATCTGGAAACAAATAGCACAATTACTATCTTAAGAGCCTCCTAATCTCTCTTACTTAAAAGATGTGACATGTATCTTGATGATTCCTGTTTGCTGTGTTGCATTACATGTGTTCATTACAAATGTAAATAATATATCTATGATTATGTTAAATTGAAATGTGTAGATTTAGAAACTCTCACATAAAACACTCTCTTAGAATTTCTACTGCTACTGTGATTGATGATGATTTAATGACAACCATTACATCTTAAGATGAATTAATTTGTCTTAGTGCAAATGACAGATATTCCCAATAGGTGTTGATGAATGTAATACTAAAGGCCTATTGCCAAATATTTATAAGAAGGTTTAAGAAGTGTTATTTAAAGTGTTTTATTTACTTATTTGAGATAATGACAATGCCTCAAAAATTGAAGCAGGCCATTATATGCTATCTAGCTAGGTCTTAAATACTATTAAAAAGCTAATTGCTGGATAGGAAGGCCAGATTTGAACACTATATGCTGTATAAAAGTATAAATTAAGACATGATTAAAATATGTTCCTTTTCTGAAGGAAATAGAGATGGGTACCACCTAAATTGCTTGTATTATTGTGAAATATTTAAAAAACAGATATTGTATCTTTAAAAAGCTACATTCATATTTTTGTATATTTATATATGCATACCATGTATAGATTGATGGGGTCTAGCATAGTGGTTAATAATAAGGTTGTTTAAAATGGGAAATTAGTGGAATGCTGTGCAAAATATGATTAACTGCTATTTCTATCTGGTTTTAAGCAAACTTTCTCCCTACAGTGGGATCTTGTAGCACATAGAAAAACCTCAGTGAAAATCCATTGGGTCTGAGACATAGATAAATTATTATTTTGTTCTCAAGGAATTTCTGTTTTTCCACATAGTGTTTTTGTAATTAATTTGATTTAAACCAAAATTACTATCAGTTTTATGAAAATGTTTTATAGTTTATTTTTATTTTAAATAGTATTATATTTTCCAAAGTACAGTTTTTGGTAATTTAATAAGATTCCTTTGTGTGTGTATGGGTAGGTGTGTGCATGTGTGTGTGTGTACACACTGATTTTGAATGGCTAATTATCTTTACTTTCACCCTGCCTCAATAATACTCAACCACCCATATTCTGGATATTTTATATCAGTCTAAGTACAAATGATGTGTGACTTTACATCATGGATGAAGAAGACTAATTGTTATTGTTGGGTACATAAATCAGTGTTAAAATTTAATTTCAGAAATTGTGCTGATTGTGGAAAGCTAATGTGAGAGATAATGGTTAATGGAACTTTTGGATTATGGCTGTGTCGTTGGAGGTTACATAGATGCCAGAATGATAAATGCAGTGGAAATATTGCAAGTGTGTAATGAACAAGAATCACTTTTATATAATTGTAAAGCTTAGATCTTCCGCAGTTATGAGCAAAATAAACAGAAATCATGTCACCATTCTTCACCTGGAATTCTGAAGACAGGATTAATATTGGTACATTTGAACATTTTAAATAAATAGTTTTAAACTTTTATAGAACACTATGGATGTGCTTCTCAAACATCTGAAAGAAAATGAACACTTTAGATAATTTCTAGAAGCATTTTTTAGAAAGTTGATCAACAAATACTATAGATACATTCATCCACTTACTAGAAAAATTCCTTGTGGTTTGGGAAATTTTGTTTTGTTTTTCACTATGCCAATGATATAAAAAAAATCCCACTTTTAATTTGCGGTTGCAAGTACAAATAGATAAATTCTAATAGACACAGTTTAAAAAGTGGACATTTCAAATTATTAAAATAGCTGATTTATGAGTGTGTCATCCCCAAGAAAATCATGAGAATGTCCTGCAATCTGTCTGTTTTGTAGTCCAGATGCTTCACTAACTCTCTCTGTTTCATTGCAGTGTCCCCAATCCTCCATTTTCTTTGTCAAATATCATAGGTAGGAAATTATAAATAATACTAGAGGCCCGGTGCACAAAAATTTGGGCACTCAGGGGGGGGAGGGGGGTCCCCCTGCCCGGCCTGTGCCCTCTCGCAGTCTGGGACCCCTCGGGAGATAACGACCTGCTGGCTTAGGCCTGCTCCCGGGTTGCAGAGGGCAGGCCCAATCCCTAGGTGCAGCCCCTGGTCAGGCTCAGAGCAGGGCCGATTGGGGAGTTGGGGCGCCGCCCCGGCATCCTCAGAGCAGGGCGGATGGGGAGGTTGCGATGCCACCCTCAGTCACGCTCAGGGTAGGGCCGATTGGGGGATTGGGGCACCGCCCCCTGTCACACTCAAGGCAGGGTCGATGGGGAGGTTGCGGCGCCACGCCCTGTCACCCACAGAGCAGGGCCGATCATGGAGTTGGGGCGCTACCCCCTGTCATTCACAGAGCAGGGACAATCAGGGGGTTC